TAATTTCATAGGGGGATAGGAGACTAGGGAAGGATGAAGGACTGTGGTAGTTTAAAAGAGACCAAAAAATATTAAAACCAAATGTAGTACAGAAACTTTAATTAGAGTGTAAGTTGAAAAAATAACTATAAAAAAGACATTATGGTACAATTTAGAAATTTATATATTGAATAGATATTAGATGATTTTAGTGAACTTTTGTTAATTTTTAAGGCTGTCATAATTATATTGGGGTTACATAGGAGGATGTCCTTATTTTTAGGAGATGCGTGTTGAAGTATTTAGGGATGAATAATTGTAATGTCTGCAATTTACTTAGAGACAGAGACATAGGGAAGAAGCAAAAAACAGCAAAATATTAGTCATAGTTTGATACAGGTGATGGGTATAGAGATGTTTACAACACGAAGCTTTCAATTTCAGATTCAAACTTGAATTTGCAGTGTGCCCAGCAACTACTTATATAACATTTACATTGTATTAGATATTATAAGTAATCTAGAGGTGATTTAGCATATATGGGAGGATGTGTGTAGGTTATATGCAAATACTATACCATTTTATATAAGGAACTTGAGTGTCCTCGGATTTTGGTATCCGTGAGTCCTGGAACCAATCTCCCTGTGGATTCGAGGGATGACTGTTTTCAATTCCTGATCAGATTTTTAAATATAAGCTCCGCAATTTTTTTTTTTTTTTTTCGGTATGCGGGCCTCTCACTGTTGTGGTCTCTCCTGTTGCGGAGCACAGGCTCCGGACACGCAGGCTCAGCGGCCATGGCTCACGGGCCCAGCCGCTCCGCGGCATGTGGGATCCTCCCGGACCAGGGCCCGAACCCGTGTCCCCTACATCGGCAGGCGGACTCTCAACCACTGTGCCACCAAGGAAGCCCAAGCTCCTCAATTTTTTTTTTTTTTTTAAGAAGATGTTGGGGGTAGGAGTTTATTAATTTATTTATTTATTTTTGCTGTGTTGGGTCTTCGTTTCTGTGCGAGGGCTTTCTCTAGTTGTGGCAAGCGGGGGCCACTCTTCATCGCGGTGCACGGGCCTCTCACTATCGCGGCCTCTCTTGTTGCGGTGCACAGGCTCCAGATGCACAGGCTTAGTAGTTGTGGCTCACGGGCCTAGTTGCTCTGTGGCATGTGGGATCTTCCCAGACCAGGGCTCGAACCCGTGTCCCCTGCATTAGCAGGCAGATTCTCAACCACTGCGCCACCAGCTCCTCAATTTTTGATAGTTTATTACCAATGGGAAACTTTATGTAAAAATGTAAAAGTATTTTTCTCAACCACTAAAAAATTTAAAACAGTTGAAATTATATTTATAATCTCAAAAATGTATCCTTTTTAAATTGAAGTGTAGTTGATTTAAAATATTACATTAGTTTCAGGTGTACAACATAGTGATTCAGTGTTTATGGATTATACTCCATTTAAAGTTATTACAAAATAATGGCATATTTCCCTGTGCTGTATAATATATCCTTGTTGCTTACTTATTTTATACATAGTAGTTTGTGTCTCTCAGTCTCATAGCCCTGTCTCACCCCTCACCTTTTCCCTCTCCCCACTGATAACCACTAGTTACTAGTTTGTTCTCTATGTCTGTGAGTTTGTTTCTGTCAAAAACTCCTCCTTTAATTAATAAATATAACTTAGAAAATTTTGTGATATAATACAAATGGTTTTTTAATCCAGTTGAACTTTCTCATATCAGTTATTTAAAAATAATGGTGAAGATTTAATTTATATAACATGTATGTGTTGTTAGAGCCATGATGCAGGCTTGGCTGATACTAAAAGGGCCCATCAGCTGCACAGGGATAGAATTAGCCAATATATGCGAAGATAAGGATTGGGGGCTGTTTCTTAGAGCCACAAGCCTCCTCAGTCTCAACACTGGATTGTATATTATGTTCCATGGGCACGTGGACCACAAACTATTCCAGTGGCTCCATGGATTCCTTGTCCATGGTAAGCAGCGGTGCATTTGATTTCTGGCTTCTGAAATAGGAGCCCATGTGGTAGATCACCTTCATGGCAAGTGTGGAGCAGTGGGTACCTGTTAGCATTTGCTGTGTTTGCCACCTGTGTGACCAAGGGGCTTGCCATCAGATCCTGTACTGCTTTGAGCCTCCTGCTAGGAAGCCCTGGAATAGTTGCGTTTTGCTGCCCAACCTCGACCTGGCCACACTGAGAAATGAGAGCATCAGTATTTTCGGATGCCCCTGTAATCCATTCACATCATACCTGTGTCCAGTGGGTGAGGATTCCTGAGTTAGGGAAGTTCCAAATGTCAATTAAAGCATTATTTATTCCTGACAGATGACAACTGGAAAAAGGAGATTCCATGATCCAGTAAATTTGGAAAATGCTGCATTAAAGTTAACAAGTTTCTTTAGAATATCTCAAAGACTTTTAAAATTTTTATTTATTTTAATTTTTGGATGTGTTGGGTCTTTGTTGCTGCGCGCGGGATTTCTCTAGTTGTGGCGAGCGGGGGCTACTCTTTGCTGTGGTGCACGGGCCTCCCACCACAGTGGCCTCTCCTGCTGCAGAGCACAGGCTCCAGGCGCTCAGGCTTCAGCAGTTGTGGCACGTGGGCTCAGTAGTTGTGGCACGTGGGCTTCAGAGCGCAGGCTCAGTAGTTGTGGTGCACGGGCTTAGTTGCTCCATGGCATGTGAGATCTTCCTGGACCAGGGTTCGAACCCGTGTCCCCTGCATTGGCAGGCAGATTCTTAACCACTGCACCACCAGGGAAGTCCCAAAACTATTTTAAAATGTTAATTCTTTCTCGGCATATAGCTTCATTGCAATAGCAATAAAACTCCCAATGGTGTTTTATTTGGAATTTCTAAATTTTATTTGGATTTCTAAATTTCATTCGGAAGAATACATGGGTGAGAATATTAAAGAACATTCCTAAAAAGAAGACCAATAACAGTGGTAATAAGTAAAATAGGATGGTAATGGTGTAAGACTAGAAATGCAATTCAGAATGGAATTGATAGAATAGACAATCAATAGAACTAGTCTCCATCACATAAAGGATTATAACACATTATAAAGTAGGAGGAAAGAACTCAAGTGCTTATTAGTAAATTAGAAATTACTAAAATAAGATTAGAAATTAATCTTTCACTTTGAATCATGACAAAATAACTTTCAGATGGATTTAAGAGTAAGTGTATTTTTAAATTGTAGAAGAAAATAGAATTGAGTATTCACCAAACCTATAGAAAAAGGATGATTTTCTCCCTCTTTTGGTGGTCCTTTCAAAGGATATGTTTCTAAACTTTAAAGGATGAGAAGAAATCTTAACAGATGTGACTAAAATAAAAATAAAAGATAATGTACTTAAAAAATAATCTTAAATTTAAAAAGCAAACATCAGCTTTGTGCAATGGCAGTATTATAACCAGTGAGATTTTCCCACGGTACTATTAAGACTAATAAGAGCCTTCCCAATATCTAACACAAATTCAACTTATTGTATTTCAGCGAGATAATAAGACAAATGCACAAAGACGAATTGGGAAGAATGGTTCACTCAAGAATTATTGTAAAAACAAAAAAATTGGGAACTACCTAAATGTCTACAATTAGAGAGTTGGTTTAATAAATTATGATAAAGTTCTATAATGGAATATCAGCCACTAAAAATGATAATGTAATAAATTTTTTTTGAGAATAAAAAGATGCTCACAGTTTATTGTTGAGTGAAAAATTAGATTAGAGGACAACATTAAGAGTAGTTAACTCTGCTTGGTAGGATTTGAAGTGGTTTGTACTTAGTCTAAACTTCTTTCCTTTTTTTTTTCTTCAGGAATCATGTGTGATTTTGGTGATCATAAAGGAGAAGGAACTGTTTTCATTTTAGGAAAACAAATGAAAACAACTGACCTGGAAAATTGTTTTCAGTAATCATGACATAGGGTTAAGTCTTTATTATTTAAAGAGCTCATACAAATTGTTAAGAAAAAACAGAAGATCGCAGTAGGGATGAGCAGAGAACATGAACAGACAATTCATAACATAGAAAATAGAGGTGGTAAACAAGCATAAAGGATCATTATTTAGACTTACTTGTAAGCAAAGAGCTGTAAATTTAAATAATGAGATAACATACTTGCTTATTAAACTAGTAGAAGTTTGCTGCCATGTTATTTATTATAATAAAGAAAAATTAACACTATCAATAAACTGTTACATTCCTTTGGTACTGTTCAGAATTGAAGGTTATGTTGCAACCTGGAAAAATAAAACATTTCAGTGAAGTAGTTAGGAGAATGAATGGTAGTTATAAAAGGTTGTGTACGAAGAAAGGAAAATACAGCAAAATGTTATGTTAGTGGTTATGTTAGGGTAAAGGGAATATATTTATAATTTAAATAATTATCTAAACTCATGCTTAATCTCTCCCTTTCCACTTTTTCTAGAAAAGCTATTTGTTTTTCAAATACTAAGTACTATTTCAAATAGTAATAGTAAGTACTATTTCAAATAGTAAGTACTATTCTCTCATCTAGAATATAGCAGGGCTTCCCTGGTGGCGCAGTGGTTGAGAGTCCGCCTGCCGATGCAGGGGACGCGGGTTTGTGCCCCGGTCCGGGAAGATCCCACATGCCGCGGAGCGGCTGGGCCCGTGAGCCATGGCCGCGGAGCCTGCGCGTCCGGAGCCTGTGCTCCGCAACGGGGGAGGAGGCCACGGCAGTGAGAGGCCCGCGTACCGCAAAAAAAACAAAAAACAAAAAACAGAATATTGGGAAGGGGGGAGAAAGGTAAATTGCAAACATCATAACATTTCACTCTTAAAGAGTTCAGCATGCCTTTCCTAAGCGTAAAGACATTCTCCTACAGAGCCTCTCCCCACCCCCCCAATAAAAAATATTAGGAAGGAGTTCTGCCATGTTCTTCCTTCCTAGAATTTCTAGTTATTGAAATTTTTGTTTTGAAGTTAAAGTTAAAAAAATAATTTTTATTTACTTTTTCTTTTACAGAGATAGCAGTAGCAGAATTTCACAAAAAAATCAAAGAAGCTTTTGAAGTATTTGACCATGAGTCAAATAATACAGTGGATGTGAGGTTTGGAAATGTTTTCTTCTAATCCTAAATTGCTGATACAACTTGTAAAGTAGAGGAGGGTTCATTCTCTTCTTTTTACTTTCTTTGGACTTATTATGCTATTTAAAGTACTTATTTTTCTGTACCCTGTAAAAGGTCTTTTCTATCTGTTGCTTCGGATCTATACTGTTTATTATTCTTCATAATCTGGTGGAAAGAATATATATCCACATTGCCTATTCTAACCTACAGACTAAATTCTGTGAATGAGGCTAACTCTACTATAGCTTTAGTACTAGACACATAGTTGGCACTCAGTATATATTTGTTGAGTGAATGAATAGAATTTGCTTTTAAAATACATAGGCATGGGGACTTCCCTGGTGGCTCAGTGGTTAAGGATCCACCTGCCATTGAAAGGGACACGGGTTTGATCCCTGGTCCGGGAAGATCCCACATGCTGTGGAGCAGCTAAGCCTGTGTGCCACAACTACTGAGCCTGTGCTCTTAGAGCCCGTGAGCCACATTACTGAAGCCCGTGTGCCTAGATCCCATGCTCTGCAACAAGAGAAGCCACTGCAGTGAGAAGCACACACACTGCAAGGAAGACTAGCCCCTGCTCATTGCAACTAGAGAAAGCCCACACGCATCAATGAAGACCCAACACAGCCAAAAATAAATAAATTAAATAAATAAATTTTAAAAAATAAAAAATAAAATACATAGGTATGTATAATCAAGCTATGAGCATGGTATTACAAAGAAGGATTAATAATACTTAAACATGATACACTCCTTGAGTAAAATAGCCAAAAGAACCAAAACAAAAGAACATAAAAAGATGAGAAAAAGACATGAATACTGGTAGATCTAGAATGGAGGACAGGAGACAAAGAATAGTGTGAAAAAAGAAGAGGCAAAAGGTAGAGGAGATTATACATGCATAAAACAGAAGCTGTAGAATCTATGCCACATATGTACATCAAAGAAAGGCAATGAAACCATTGTTCCAGGAGACCAAGCTGAATGAGGAGTATTTGATGGGATCACAATCTCAAGAGTCAGGAACTAGTAGTACAGAGGCCAACAAAACAGTTGGAAGTGACTAAGTGCTTTTTTTTGCCCCCCGCGTGGCTTGTGGGATCTTAGTTGCCCAACCAGGGATTGATCCCAGCCCCTCGGCAGTGAAAGCGCAGAGTCATAACCACTGGACTGCCAGGGAACTCCCAGGACTAAGTGCTTTAAATTTGAGCTAAACTGAATGAACAATAGGAGGTTTTATGTATGACAAATTGTAGCTACGGTTGTCCCTCGGTATCTACAAGGGATTGGTTCCAAGGCACACCCCGACTCCTCCCTGACTCACCCCCAACCCCTCACCCCTCGAGGATATCAAAATCTAGGGATGCTCAAACCCCTTATAAAAAGTGGCATAGAATTTGCATATTACCTACCTACATCCTTCTGTATATTTTATTTTTTTATATATAAATTTATTTGTTTGTTTATGGCTGCACTGGGTCTTCGTTCCTGCACGCGGGCTTTCTCTAGTTGTGGTGAGTGGGGGCTGCTCTTTGTTGTGGTGCATGGGCTTCTCATTGTGGTGGCTTCTCTTGTTGCAGAGCACGGGCTGTAGGTGTGTGGGCTTCAGTAGTTGTGGCACGTGGGCTCAGTAGTGTGGCTCACGGGCTCTAGAGCGCGGGCTCAGTAGTTGTGGCACTTGGGCTTAGTTGCTCCGCAGCATGTGGGATCTTCCCGGACCAGGGTGCGAACCTGTGTCCCCTGCAGTGGCAGGCAGACTCTTAACCACTGCGCCACCAGGAAGTCCCTCCCATATATTTTAAATCATCTCTGATTACTTATAGTACCTAATACAGTGTAAATGCTATGTAAATAGTTGCCTGTGGCATGTGGCAAATTCAGATTTTGCTTTTGGAACTTTCTGGGGTTTTTTCTCCCAGTATTTTAGATCTGTGGATGGTTGAATCTTTGGATGTGGAACCCACGGATACGGAGGGCTGACTGTATATGTATTCCTTAGTTTCTCACACCTGAAGGTACAAGGTGTGATTACAGGAAAGGAGAGTGATAAGTGCAGTCAGTTTCATTACTTTATAGTAACACCTTACAGAGTTTTGTTTGGTACCTCAACTATGTTTATGGGCTTTACTGCAGTGGATAAAGTAGAGAGTGGAGTTAACTTCCAGCACTGCAACTGTAGTTGGCCTTGTGGGAGGCTTGGCTCAGCCATTGTCAGGGAAGTGTGAGGGTAAAGTGCAGGGCTGAGCACTGCACAGCTCGAAGTGGCGCCAGCCTCGCTGCATGCATTGTGAATGACACTCCGCAGTGTGAGTATCCTAGCGGGAAACTGGGTGGGACAGTAGTGGTGGTTGATAGGGTTTGGGATGGGGTGGGGAGCTTGCGACTCTTGCCTGCAGTTTGAATAAATATATGAATGGCACGTGCCTTTACCTCAGACCTCTCACTGGAGCGGAAGGGTTCTCCTGGGGAAGGAGAGGAGAGGTATTGTCAGAGAAGTCACGGAAGTGCAAGAAGAACCAGGATAGCTTTATGAAAGAGAGGGGGAACAGAGAAGGGAAACCAGCATTTACTCAAGCCTTGCTCTCTGATGTCTACCTATAGTTGGGTGCTAAGGGTTTTTGTGTACATTACCTCATTTTAGTCTTTTTATTGGTACAGTAAGGGTTGGCATCTCCAGTTTTTGGAGACTAGGAGAAGGTAAATAGTTTGCTCAAGGTCATGTCAGCGTTTCTCTAATTCAGTGTCTTGATGGGCTGTGTCGCCCCTTCCCTCCCTGCTCCCCTCCACCCCACCCTTCATGGATTTCATGGGCTCATCTCCTGCTTTGAGGCTTCCTGAAAGTAGCAGTGAAGAGAAAGTTTCCCAAATCCCTTAGAGCAGTGATGCCAGGCCTTTTTTTTTTTTTTTTTTTGCTGTGTTGGGTCTTCGTTTCTGTGTGAGGGCTTTCTCTAGTTGTGGCAAGCGGGAGCCACTCTTCATCGTGGTGTGTGGGCCTCTTACTATCGCGGCCTCTCTTGTTGCGAAGTTCAGGCTCAGTAGTTGTGGCTCACAGGCCCAGCTGCTCCGTGGCATGTGGGATCCTCCCAGACCAGGGCTCGAACCCGTGTCCCCTGCATTAGCAGGCAAATTCTCAACCGCTGCACCACCAGGGAAGCCCCAGGCCTTTTTTTGATAGAAGGGCCAATTCAGGGGAAATAAACATGTTTAGGGGTTGCATCTTTTACCCATTCAGAATTAAAATAATTGTACTGAGGCCCCGAGGAAAAGTGTATGTTCTTGAAATGTCTACTTTATAAAATAAAATTACTAAGAAAATTGGCATTGTTTTTAGCACTAAAATATTAATGCTAAGCATATCTGAGTGGTAGGAACGTGGATGAATGCAGTTTCTGTACTCCTTCTGCTAATTTGTATAGCACTTTAAAGTTTACAGTGAGTGTTCTCATGCTGCAGGTATCATTACTATCCACTCTTTATAAATCAGAAATTAAGGATCAAGAAGCACAATGACTTGCCCAAGATCGAATAATAGACTAGCCACAGAGTTGAAACTCAAATCAGTTTCTTCTCTTTGGGGCAGCTGTGCCGCAGCCCTGGAAGAGGCCTGGGAATGCAGTGCTGAATAAGGTCTGGTCCTGCCTTGCCCAGCCTCAGCAGGCTCCTCTATTTGTAAAAACAGTTCATCTAGCTAGAATTTATTTTGGCATATGATTAAAAGTGAAGGTCTAAATAGATTTTTTTTCAAATTGCTAAACAGTTCAGTTTATTTACTTCTTGAATTATTAGATCCACTTTATAATGTACTGCATTTTCTATAATTGAGTCTAATTTAGGCTATGTGTTCTGATCTATTGCCTTACCTCCTGATCATATATACTAGGACAATCCTATATTAATTGCTATCAATTTATAGTATGCTTTACTATCTGATAGAACTAGTCTCTTTATTACTCTTCTTTTTGAACATTTTAATTAAGAATTGAAGGCAGTATTCTGTGTAGATTGAATGGCGTAAGGAGGGGTCTGAATGGGGTAAGAGTTCCAGAGACAGACATAATAGCTGGGTTTGGAAGAGACAGCTGTTCCTTGAGAAGCTTCCAGGGCATTTGGCTATTCCTGCCCTAATGTGCTTGATTCTTCAAGTGATGCTGTTTCCCTTGAAGGGCAGACCAGCACCCCTTACCTCTGCTTGGCATGAATTAAAAGATTTAATTTGAAATTTTAGCACATTAGGTGGAGTGGAGGTCTGGTATTGTGACTGCCAGGCAGCCAGTGGGTTTTTTTTAATCATTATGTAAAACATTATGAAATGGGCCCCTGCTGCTTTCCTCCTGGCTCTGAGGGGCAACCCTGGGGATTGGAATCAGACTTTCTGGGTTCATTCCTAGCTTTGTGACTGTAATTGATTTATTCTCTCTGTGCCTCAGTTTTTACATTTGCCACATAGGATTGATGTAAGTAAGTAGTTCTCAAAATGGTTTGTATACCCCTGTGTATCCGCAGGACTCTTTCAGGGGTCTGTGAAATCAAAACTATTTTCATAAAAAATCTGAGACAGTATTTGCTATTTTCATTCTCATTTTTCACAAGTGTATATTGGAGTTTTTCAAAAGCTACATGTGTGATATTGTAACAGATTGAATGCAGAACCAGATATGAGAATCCAGCTGCCTTCTGTTAAGCCAGACCTTAAAGAGATTTGCAAACATGTAAAACAGTGCCATTTTTCTAATTAAATTTATTTTTTGTTTTGGAAAATATAGTTATTTTTCATAAAAATTTTATTTATGTAGGCATATAATGGGTTTATCATTATTTCTAAATGAATTAGTAAGTAAATATTTTTAAACTTTGAGGTGTACTTTTTAGTATGGTAAATATAGATAAATATAACTCACACAAACAAAAGCTCTTTGTGGGTCTGAATAATTTTTAAGCATGTAAAAGGGGTTCTGAGACCAAAAAGTTTGAGAACAGCT